CGGAAAGTTCGTGCCGAATAACCTATATAATTTAATAAATGTATACTAAAATTTAAATTTTCTGTGTTTTAATTTTCCTTCAACATCGGCACGAACTTTCTGGACAACTCAATATTAATTAACACACTTAAACATATTTGTTGTATATAATTTATTGCAAGTGTAATAAAAAATAATGGGCAGACATCAGAAAGGCACTATATGCAAACCTTTTACGAACTTATTGCTGGTATAAATATGCAGTTTCTTAAATGTACGGTGCTCCACGGAAGAAGCAATAAGAAGAGCAACAAGTCAGACTCTAGCCTCCTCCCCTGCGTACCACCAAGAAAATTAAAGACATGTTACTTGATCCTGTTCGCAAACTTATGACATGTATGAGTTTCGATTCGGTATGCGCTTTATTAAATCGCATGCATTAAACTTAAGGAACAAGCTTCATCTCAAAAGCAAATACATACTCATGCGTATTTATAAAACGAGATAAAAACGAGACAGCATTTACCGAGAGTGGATCCTGATGTCCTTGACGTCGATCGACGTCCATCGTAGCAATTATAATGACGACATTACACTAATAATGAAAACGAATCTTCTCACTTGTAAACTAATGGAACTACTTTTCAAAAGATCTTTTAGCAGAAGTATCTTCCTGAATAGCGCGAGACAAGTTCGAAAGACTTCCCTGAACTACTTTTTCCCTTAGGTTTCTACATTCCTTTGAATTATCATGGACTAAGTAAAAAATCCATCGTAACCGGAACAAGACTTCGCGCAAGAACCTCATTAAAGTGCGTCACAGCATTGCAGATTAAGCGAGGTTGAGCGTAGCCTCCGGTAGCCCGGGCTTACATTACAATCGAAGAAATTCCGTATCTCCGCGATTGGGATCGTTGAACGACCTCGAGTAAGTCGAACCAGTTCGATCTGCCCGACGTTCCCGCTTCATTCAATTCCCGCCACATTCTGACGATGCTTTAATTGTAATATCGTGTAAAAGTTTCTGTGTCACACGTTATAAGAATAATTACAACCTACCGGAGATTCGTTGTAAAGATTAAACGTTCGCTCCTCCCCATTCAGTAATCATAATCAGTTTCGAATCAAGGGCTGTAGAGTCTTCTTTTAGAAATTAATACACAGAAGAATGCACAAATCGAAAGATGAATAAATTAAAATTAAGATACAAAAATGCGAGAATGAAGATTAAATTTGTTGATATTTTCGAATAATAAAAGTATCAAATGCTTGTCAATTGTTCATTATTTTACTGGCACCTTGAAAGAGAAACGAGATACCTTCGTCGTTCATTTTCGCAAAGAGCCGATACGTCGACTTTTCTCATCTTTATGACGCATGCGAAAGATATTACCAAAGACAGCACGATGGATTTATTGAGATTTTAGAATCGACTGATGCGATCCGGGATCGACATATCTTGTCTCAGCAAGCGGATCCGCCTCGTCCTTCAGCGGTTCCTCAGGTTCCTGATTCGAAGACATCCCGCATGGCTCGCGCCACCGTATATAAGTCAAAACCAGATCGTGAGTAAGGTGCACAGCCCGGACAGTCCTTCAGCCAGCAAGGAGGTCGGCAGAGACACACCGAGCACGATGCAGGCCTTGGTAAGCACTATCGATCCTTCTTTCAGTTTAGAAGTTTTTTTTATGAATTTTTCCATTTTGAGGAACTTCAGTTCTTTTAATATCAAAATAATCTAAATTATCTTCTTTAAGCCCTAAAAGTAAACATTTCGATATTGGGCATTATATAGATTAGAAGATTAGCTTATAACAAATAAATAAATTAGCTTATAACAAATTGTTAGATATTTTGCATAATTGATATTAAAATTATCAAAAGAATTAAGATACATCGTTATAAATTTCAGTTAAACATAATTTTTAAACATTACAAGTATCTTTAAAAAATTACTCAAATTTATGTAATAGTGCATTTTGTAAGATTTTCTGTAATTTCACTGCATGCGCGCGCGCGCGCGTGTGTGTGTGTGTGTGTGTGTGTGTGAGAGAGAGAGAGAGAGAGAGAGAGAGAGAGAAATGTCTGGTTGAAAATGGATGAATTAAAAGATTCTAATTATTTTAAACAAAATTATTTCAATTAGAATTCTAGTAGACTTAATCAGAAAATTTTGATTCGTTTATTTTCAATATGAAATTTAATTAATTCAATCAAATATTGTTCTCAGTGTTGTTACAATATGTAAATCATTAAATTGATAAATTTTTACTTTTCTCTCTCCTTAAAAAAATATGTAGTATATACTTAAATAATAAAAATTAATTATCGATAATTCCAATATTGAACATAACGTATAATTTAGCAAGATATTAATTTTTCGTTAAATAGCATTTGTTGATTTTTAGATCATGTATTTACATCTACACTGTGCATGTAAGAAAAATCGCAGAACGTATATAGATTTTTGTTAGAAATTTTTTCTGGTTCTTTATAGTGTGACACTAAAAGTGAAACATCAAAGTCTTTATTACAGATGACGTCGAATTAAATAGCAGCAGTCCGGAGCGAATATTTGCAGGATTCGCGGGAATGATATACGAGCGTTATAATTTATTTGCAAGAGTTGTTCTTACGCGAGGCCTGTCGGTCTACTTGCTTTTGTTGAGATATAAAAGCACGGAAAAATATACGTGTGTAAAATCCGCGGTACGAGAGCGCGACCACCGCGCGCGTTTTACGGCGATGGAGTCTTCGCCAAATGGTACTCTTATCCAACATCAACGTAGAAAAGGATAGAACCCTGCTGTTTTTGCTGGCCTTTTGTAAGGTACTTCTATCCGGCCTTGCGGGGTACAACGTTACAACTGTTTCACAATTTTTTGTTCAACATTTATAGGTGGCTTAAATTGCTAGACGCGTTGCAGACATTGCAACAGTTTCAAAGAATTCTCTTTTAAAGTTACCCGTTTGAATGAACATGGAGATTTAAAATTCTAACCGTGGGTTGGAAACTACAATTTTGAAATTTTTCATTTGAACACATTTTTTTTGGAATACATTATTTTGTTTAGTAATTTTGTGTAATTTATCATTGAATAGAATTTGTTTAATGCCATATTATATATTATATTGTCTTTGTAACAGAGAATCAACTATTGATCTGCAGAAATAAACAGTAACATTATACACGAAAGAATAGTTTTGCTGAAGTATCTAAAATTTTAGCTAGATATAAATTGATAATAATTTTGTTGGACCGTCAAAATAATTATGTTAGAACGTCCAAATTGTTTGCTAGAAATCTCAAGCATGCAAAATGTTTGACATTTTGCATGCTTGAGATTTTTGAATTTTTGATTTTGAGAAAATTATCTTGTTCAACAAAACTATTTAAAATATCTAGTTAAAGTATCTAGTTAAACTTTTAGTTACTTTAGTAAAATTGTTCTTTCTGCATCAATATGTTATAATTTTATATTTAACAATATTTAACAGTTGTTAAATTACATGTTATATGTTACATTTATATTGATGAGTGGGAAATTATAATATTTATGTATTACTGTTATTAAATGTGTTCTGCAGATGTATTCAATTATTTTAATTATAATTATTTTAAGAAATTCTTAATTATCAACTCGTTATCTGTGAATAAAACTTAGGTCTTCGTCTGATAGACACTCGCCGATAAATTGCACTCGCATCGAAAGACGCAGAGAGTTTAAAAGGAAAAGTGTAGTTATTGATTCTTTTCTTCTTCTTATGGCTTCATTGCAAGTGTTCTCTATTACTTTTCTTCTTACCGAACAGCTCGTCGTCACTTCTTCATATTCTTCTATATTAGACCATAAAGAGCGGCAAGTATAAACTTACCCTGTCCCACACTTGCTTTGTCCCTACGTTCTTTACTGATATCGAGGACGTAAAAATTCATCGGATATTTCGTTATCAACTATCCACCGTGGTGAACATGAAGAGTCTTCTCTTTCTTTTGTCCTCTGAGAGAACAAAATTCCTGACGCAGTAATTCTCGCGGTATTCTACGAGAACATGTCCCAGGAACGTTCGCTAGCTAGTTGCGCGAGTAAATCCACTGACATGACGATTGCATGCAAAATGAGTGTTCCGAGGGCGAGTGTACTTACGATTTGCATTTGTTACGAGATAAAGCGTACTCGACCGAATTTTCTGTGCCGTGGAACGAATGCGCATAATGCACGTGTAATGTATCTTGCGTATTGCCATATCTATTTCTCTCGACGAATCTCTGATATCAAGTAACGAGATATCATTTGTAGAATTGAACCGATGGGAAGAATTATCACATTTAAATAAAAAAATGTATATATGTACATTTTTTAAAAAAGAATTTTTTAAAAATAATCTGAAGACAGAATTTTTTATGCGTTAAATGTATTTAATAAAGTAAAATTTCTAGAACATAATTTTTATTGACAATTCTTATTAAAGATGTATTATATATATTTTCTCTCATAATGAAAAAATGATGAAAAAGTATAGATTAATCTAGATCGCATTTAAAATTAAATATATACAAAAAGTTTAACAACGATTTATTATCTGGATCCAATATTATTTCAATAAGTAGTAGGTATTTTTTAAATCTGTACTCTAATAGAAATGTATTATAAAATAATGATAAAAGTCTTAATTTTTTACACAAGTGTTTTAAGATGATTTATATAAAGTTACATTGCGGTGCAGAGATTAGTTATTCTATAGATAAACAAAATGCTTATTTCTTCTAAATCTTTGTAACTCTCTGAATCGCAATGAAACTTTATATAAATAATTTTGAATACTTAAAGTACTTATACAAAAAAATTGAAATTTTTATTGTTTTTTTCAATTTTAATTTATAACAATCAAAATAATAAACAAATAAGGTACATAAACAATAAAAACGTGTTATTAAAAAAATATATTGGTAGAAACATAATTTTCTTATACATTTATTTAAAGTATAAATATTAACATATTTATGAAAAAAAAGATGATACATCCTTAATACAAATTTATAGAATATAAATTAATGATTTTATAGATATAAATTAATTAATGACCTGAAGTTTATACGAGCTCAAAAAGAGTACATGTACTCTTAAAAAGGTATGGCTGATAATTCTAACAGGACGATCACAGGAATATCGGAGTTCTATATAAACGAGTGGCAGGCGCAAGCAATAAGTGCATCGATATAGAACACGTACAATTATCGCTTTGCAATTTTAGCTGGATATGATCCACACGATAAAATATATAGAAAGTCTGTTCTTAGGTCTGTTCTTTAACTGAACTTCTTATATCGTTTATTTTTTCTCTTTTTTTCTCCAACGTGAGAAAAGAAAAAGAGGAAAAAGATGAACCGTGTAAGAAGTTCAGCTGAAAAGATCATAGATCTATTCTTTTAAGCTAAACTTCTTGCATGTTTCCTCTTTTTATCTCCAAGATGGAAGAAGTTCAACTAAACAGGCTTAGAATAAAAACCGTAATCGCATCGTATCATACGAACGTAAATCTCGATCGAGGAAATAGTTTCGAAAAACGGTTTAGTTCGTCTAAAATACACGGATTAAGTTTGGCGTAAGAAGTAATAAGAGTAGAAGTGTATGAATATGCAATTGTAGTAATTTTTGATATATTTGTAACATTGGTTGACAATCTTATTGATTGATTGAGCGTAAGGAATGGAATTGGAGTAAAAAAAACTTATTTGTATTATAGGAATTAGACTAATAAATTAAGAGAAACAAACCTATTTTTGGTGAAAATGAATCTTGGTGCTTAATATTCATATGCAAATTTTTGCTGATAAATTTTTCAGTTTCATTAATTGTGTTATCGATTCGGTTTGTCGGACTTGAAACTCAATCGCAAATTAAAGTTGAAATATTAATATCTCAAATTACATTAATCAATTTAATAATGATGCTAATAAACATCTTAAAAATTTGTAAAGAATTTATTGCAAAATATTCTTGCGCCTATATTTAGCTCCCTTATACAGGAAATATCTTAGATACTTTATTCTTACAAGCTTATTCCGTATATTGTAAACGGTATATTGTAGACGACCACTTCCACGTGTGGTAAAAATTATCTTGGATGCTGGTTAGCTTCCGTATTCTCGAGGTAAGAGCCTATTGTTTGAACTCTGCAGATTCCAGTTTTCGCGATTCTTGGCGTGACGGTGGGCGCGCAGCTGACCCTGCTGCCCTACGCTTATCTGGCAGATCCGCTTCCGGTGTACCATCAGTCGCAGGACACGCGTGCCGGAGTACACGCGTACAGCTACGCCGGCGGCCCGTCTGCCAAGGAGGAAATCCGGGGTCTCGACGGGGTCACGCGTGGCTCCTACAGCTACGTAGATGCGCACGGTATCCTGCAATCCGTCTTCTACGTCGCGGATGAGGACGGCTTCCGCGTCGCGGCGACAAATCTTCCTACAGACGGTAATCTACCGCTCGAGACCAGCGAGGTCCTGTTAGCCAGGTACACCCACCCGCAGGAACTCGTGAAAGCCACCACCGAGGAGGAGAAGGGACACTTAGTGAGTCGTAGGAAGCGCAGTCTCGAAGCATCGACCGATCAAGATCATCAGACAGAAAATCCAAGTTCCCAGGAAGATCAGGCCTCGGATCGAAACTCGGCGGCGATCGTCTTACCGAAGAATTCCCACGAGCTTTCAGCGCCGGAAAAAAAATCCGACAAAGGTCGAGTCAATCGCGACGCCGCGGGGTCCATCGTTGCGCCCGTATATGGTCTGCTAGACTCGGCTCTGATCCCGAGATTGACCGGAGCGGCGATTTCTCATCAGAGCCGCGTCGATGTTCACAATAACATTCGTTTGAAGGCCGTTCAACCTATCAAGACGAATCCTGTCGGAATCCTGTCGGAACCTGCTGAGACTGTGATCCTTCCCAGTCAGGTACCTTTGGCGACCTCTCATCAGAGTCGCGTCCAGGTACATAACAATCTTCGCGTCGAGGTGCCGGAAAAACTCGTCAATGTAGAAACGATCGAGGTTCAGCCGCAGATAGCAGAGGCAACCGCCGTCAAGTTGGAACCGCTTTCGCTCGTTTCTGATTACAACGAAAATCGGATTCAGTTTCACAGAAATCTCGGATTGGAGGGCTCAAATCGCAAGGATGCCGTGAAGATCGATGCGGCACAGCTAGCCATCATCGAAACGCCGATCGCCGCTGTACATGCGATTCCGGTCGCCAAGGAACCAGTTCCTGTCGTCATCAATGAAGCAGTTCCGGTGATCACTAAGCAGGCACTTCCGATCCTCGCCAAGGAATCGGTTCCTGTCGTCGTCAATGAAGCAGTTCCGGTGATCGCCAAGCAGGCACTTCCGGTCCTCGCCAAGGAATCGGTTCCTGTCGTTGTCAATGAAGCAGTTCCGGTCGACGCCAAGCAGGCACTTCCGGTTCTCGTCAAAGAAGCGATTCCGGTCGTCGTGAAGGAGGCTTCACTTCCAGTCGTCACTGCCGTCTCCAATCAGAATAGGATTCAAATTCATCGCAATACCAAACTCGAAGCTGTACCGATCGCGAGCGAACCGACCTTATACTGGGCGACTTCCTATGCTCGACCGATCAGTACTTGGCCGATTTTAACACCGATTGCTCAATCTTCTCAATATCGCCATCAGATACACTCGAACGAGAAAATTGAATTCCCAAAATAAGAATTCGGCCGTTTCGTTCGTTGATGTCGCGAGAATTTTCTTTGCGCGGTTTATATTTATTTTCATTGTTCATCATAACTTTTAATAAATTTTTCGTAACATGATTGATAAACAATTTTTTAATTTGGCTCTTTACGAAATAGATTCAAAATATCTAAACATTTTATAGATATTTCATAGAATATTTCTTTAAATGAATCTGTATTTTTATTTTTTTTTAAGTAAAAGTGATTGTTAAAAGTAATATTGAAATCGCAAAATTAATCGTAACAAAAATCTAGACTTTAAAGAGTCAAAAGAAAACGCGCGGATAAGTCATTCGCATCATGCTTAAATAATTAGAATAAGATTATATCTTCAGCGAGAGTTTCATGAATGATTGATTAATGACAAGTTCGTTCATGATAGCTCGCTCTTTAGATATCATTATTCGTTCTCGTCTTGCATTCATTTATCATGTAACAAGCATCTTACAAATTTGTATTAAATTATTGTACGATTATACGATCTTCGTCCGATTCATTAAAAACGATTCATTAAAAAATCGTCAATCTTTTGTGTAATTAATAATAATTTTATGTAATAAATTATTACGTTTCTCTTATATAAATTATCACCTTCCTCCATACATAAATGTTTATATTCTTTTTCCATTAACGTCAAAACTCAGATAATTCTCATTTGATGACTTTTGATAACTCAATTGAATGCACGTTCCTTTTTATTCTGACGAGTCAGATTCAACTGAGTTTTTATCTACAATCTGCATAAACTCGACTTTATTGAATATTGTTAACTCACATTAAAAGTGAGGTTTATAAATCTGTATTGTGATGAGATAACTTTGTTTGTACTAAAATAAGCAAGTAGTAACATCATTATCTGAGTATAAAATATTTATAACTTTTGATTCATTATCAGTATCACTTGTGCGAAAATAAAAAACTATTATTGTATTTGAGCTTAATCGAATCTTTGTCGTTCGGATACGCTGCATAATGCCAACAATGTCGATCCGGATGAGAATTTAAATTGACATGTTCAACTTCTGCGAGAACAATGAACGGAGTGGATCTCCGACTTTGAAGAATAATAAATGCATTTATTCAAATCGCACCTTTAATTAATCACGAGTCCGATTCGTTCTCTTTGAACGCGGAATTTACATTAATTCCTAATCCTGGGACAGGGTAGGTATTTTTTTACGACTGACTGCGTCGGACAACTTTGTCGTCGCCGCTTTATGTTCGATATGAAAATTGCGACCTTGATATCGGATTCTTATCGTCGCGAATATATTATGTTAAAACGTTAAAACTTTCATGCACGAATGTCGCATGTCCGTTGAGTAATGATGAGATTAACGGGGAAATATACGCGAGCGAATCCAGCATGTGTCCCGTGCACTTACCCGCGTTCTTATGACGGAAATTTTTCTAAGTCGCGTATTCGCATGCCGGAGAGAGACATTTGACAGGATTATTTTCTGCAGGTGGTACTGAATGCTTCGGATACGTTGGGTCGAGTTTTACGAGCGAGATGTAAGAGCAAGGAGAACGTTTTATAAAGATGTATCGATTTAAATATCAATGTAAATATCGATTCATTTCAAATAATCTTATCCGCTTCTCGGATTTGTAAAATCATTATCTTGAAATAGAAATTCGTATCTGCTTTTGCAAAAATTTATATCGTAATTACTTTATAGTTTTTTATTTATTAACCTTTATGTATATATAATGTTATAATTATATCGTTCGAACTCCACCAATAGTATTATTAAATTATTATTATATTATTATATATAATTATTACAGAGGGAATAATTCTTGTAACTTAAATTATTGTACAATTTCTAAATGATTGTAGTCATTTTTTTATATAATAATATATAATAATATATAAATCATGGATATATATTGGAAATATATTGTAATTCACAGTGTTGAACAAGTTATTATAACAATTAAGTTGTTAACAATTAAGTTATAAAAATTCTTTAACTTTGCAGTAAAAAGTTAAAAATTTCTATTATAATCTATTAGACAGAATCGAAAGTCTAAAAAGAATCTTTTTGTTTTCCGACTTACGATATAAATTCCTATTACTGTTCTAAAGATATTCCTGGGAGTCCCAAAAGATTTTACTTTTATGTCATCAATTGTGATTGTGAGCTCTTTATCAGATATAAAAGATAATCTTTTTCTAGTCTATATATGAATTCGCAATATAAAATCGAAATAATTTTCAGATAGTATTCTGAATAAGAAGTCAAAAAGTATTTTTATAGGATTATATTTTGACTACTAGAAAGGATTTTTTTTTAGTTTATTTCGAAGATTACGCTATTTCACTTAAAAAGATGAATACTCTTTGTGAATTCAAATGAAATAAATATAGGGATGAACATAACGCGTCCATTCCTAAAATCCCATTTTACCTTCAAAGGAAGGTAGAAGCACTCAGGATGTCGTAAATGTATATACATGACTGTTTGCAAAACGACGCCCGGATTAGACCAACGAGCAAATAAACAAGCATCCATTTATGGATGAGAGGATCAAAAGGAGGCGAACGGCGATTCGAGATCGGAATTTGATCGGGGAACACATCCGCTAGCGAAATCTGGGATAATTTCGCGCTTGTAAAGATCGTTACGAATTTCATACGAACCCATTTTCTCGACCGCGATTCACGCGGGTTATTTTCGTGTTGCATACGCACGTACGCACTTATGTGCGTACATGCGTGCGTGCGTGGGCGCGCATAACGGATGATTCGTGAGAAGGCCGTTGAAACGTTCCGTAGATTATTCCGGATCGGACGCATTACGGGCGCGTAGTAAGTACCTAGTAATATTCCTTTATTGTCGAACCTCGGTGCCGCCCTTCGTATTAGCTTTAATAAAACGCCGTATAAATTCTCGAGATTTTTTTTTTGCCTGCGCGCGGATTTAGCCCATGAGTATTTGTAACACGGGAGTGTGGTAAATGCGAAATAATAATGGTCGCCATAAATCACGCGCGGTTCCAATATTTCTATCGGGACCAGAGAGCTACGTAGGAGATAAATGTAACGCAGGTATACGATGCAGAAATGGAATTGCCATAAACCCGCGGGTACTTTGTCCCTTAGGATATTATATTGTCCCGTCCTGGGAGGAAACGATATCTGGATCAGAGTTTCAGAGAGCTTCGGAGTATTATCTCGCAGGAACACGCCGTAAAACATGCATGTATTAGATTAAAGAAATATAGTCAGTACTCACATAGAGAGATCACATATCAGGCTGTTACGAGCAGAGAGATGTAAGCGAGTAGGATTCAGTTTTCTCGTCGAAAATCTGACTTTCCGAAATGATCCGTTCTAATCTATTTTCGTTCTCCACCTCGAAATTCGAGTCGCGTATTCATTAAACTGACAGCGGGGAAACGCGATATTGGAGATTCATCTCCCGGGAAAATCGGCTTTCGTTCATCCGAAGTCCACCGTGACGGTCAGCGGAGGTCGAGATATAACGCAATGGGCGAACGAACGAAGGTGGGAAGATACGACGATTCACACTCGCGATAATAGAAACGTAGCGCACGTAGGTATTCACGCCGATAAAAGCCCGCGCGCGGATGGCCCGCGACCGATAAAGCGTCTCGGATAATGATTTCCGAGACATTCGGCCGCGTATGTATAATATACAGGCCATGTACCTAGATTGTTCGTGTCACGCGAGATGTTTATGTCCCAGATTGCGTTTCCGTGTGCGTTCACCCAAAATGGAATCCTCGTGTAAACTTGCATCATCTCCGAAGTGACTGGACGCGAACAAGCCGAGGAACTCCGATCAATGTGGACTCTGACACAAACTTGTTCCTGAGAGAAAACGTAGTATAATGTATACCGGTTTTGCTGAAGTATCTAAAAATTTAGCTATATAGATAGAATCTGAAAATAACTTTGTGGAACTTTCAAAATAATAATTGTGTAAGAATCAAATTGATTACTAAAATGTCCAAACTTTTTACATCATTACTTATCATGCTTGAATTTATTATATATATATATATGTAATTATTTTGATGATCCAAAAAATTATTTTTTCATTCTATCTATCTATAATACATTTTTAGATATTTCAGCAAAATCGATTGTTTTCATGTATAATGTGCCCGATATTAGTATCGGGCACATTATACGTAATTAATTAAATAAATTAAAACAAGAATGTTTATTGATATAGCTTTTGTAGACGTTTCTTATGTCTCCTTTCTTTGTTTCTATTGGTCTTTCACTGTTGATCTAATTTAAATTATATTTATCGAATTTTCTATTTTTATGTTTTATTATTTATCTATTTAAATATTATGCTAATTCTGATCTGATTTTATTGCCCGAAGAAGACTCTATGAATCGAAATCCAATTAAATATTAATATTGATTACAATTTTAAATAAATGTTCTAATTATTTTTCATTTATAGCGTTTTAATCTTATTTCTTTTTATCATTATTTAAAAGAAGAAAACTTTTAATTGAAAGAATATAAATGTGTCGTTTATAATTATATAAATTAACGTATTATTATAATTAATAATAAAATTTCCAACACGAAATTTTATTATGTAAAATTGAGTAGAAATATCTTACAATTAAATAAGAATCGAATTCTAACGGGCTGCTAATTGTTCGATTGTATCGTATTAAAAAGAAATTAGAGTAATTTTAGAGTAAGATGAAGTCAAGATAATTAAGAAGAGACTCACAGATTTATAATGTAAAAGTTTTTTATTTTATAAGATGCTATTAATATAATTAATATAATTTATTAAAGTCGACACTCTTTCTCTCTCTCTCTCTCTCTCTCTCTCTCTCTCTCTCTCTCTCTCTCTCTCTCGAGTTGATTGGTGAATCGGTGTGTTATCAATCTGCGTTTTTTATTCACATGAAGTACAGTCGGAACATCTCGATATTGGGACGAAAAGAAGAAACGTTTCTGCGCACGCCGCAATTTCTGTGAGTTAAGCCTACGATGCTGGCGATATGAGAAAATTAATCTTACGTGCGCCTTCCACAGCAATCTCACGTCACGATCTATGTGTGATCCACTTTTCGTTATCTATAGTACGAAAATTTCACGAATCTCGTCGGTTATCTGTTCTGGACAGTAATTATACTTTAAATCGTGAGAATCATGATGATTGTTAATGTTTTACGTTGATTCTGTGGAGAATGATTGTTTCGCGTGATAACGAAATTTTATTATTTCTCGTAATAAGAGTAGATTCCGTTATAAGCACTCCCAAATATATTTAATATTAATATCAGAATATCAGAACTTAATTAGAAGAAAGGAGCTTTTAATCGAAAAAAGATATATGTAACAAATATTTATATTATTCGTATTAATATAGAATCTTGCCATAAGTATTATATAAAGTACTCTCAATTTATTATATTTTCTTGGAAAAAGCAGTAATAAAAACCAAAGGGGATGACTAGGAAAATATTAATATAAATTGTTATAAAAATATAATTTTTCAATGAAACTGTTTTGTAATTCTTATCACATAATGATTTTCCTTTACTACGCACGATGGATTATTCGTGTCTC